CCCACTGTTCGTGTACTCGGAGGAGCCAGCACCTGGCCACGTTCACCGGTTAGCCTGGGTCGAGCGTGTACACCCTTACTACAGTGTCTTCTCCAGTTGCTGAGTCTGGTCAGGTAGCCGCGTCGGGTCAGCTGTTTGCTGCAGCGTCCCGGTCTGGTCCTGAGTCTGCCCCTTCCTCGTCTCGACTCTTGTCTCACCAAACTCTCTGATAAGAAACGAGGAATGAATGCATTGAGCAGAATGAGGAGTACAAGTAGTAAACCCTAAATTGTTGTACCCCATATGAACTTCCCCACTACAGCCTACACAGACTATAGCATATATGCCTGACACACCCCAATAGGCAAAGTGGGGGAGAACAAGGGGTCACAAGACCAGTCAAGCAAAGCAAAGCAAGCTCAGGGTGCATCACAACGTCACCACACAGTCCGAGCACCCGAGCAAGGCCACAAGGCCAGGTCACATGCAAAATCATATATGTAAAGGTAAACAAGCACGTGCAGGTAAAGAAAGAGTACAGTACAGACAAGGTCAAGAAGTGACCAAGTGAGGCCAAGTAGGCACAATACCTAGCATAGCACAGAAGCGCTAATGATCACAAGGCGGAAGGGCCTTGGTAAAGATATCAGCAGTGTTGGCCTCAGAGGCCACGTAGGTGAGGCGGAGCTGACCACGCTGCTGCAGCTCACGAGCCAGGAAGTAGCGAAGAGCAATGTGCTTCGTTCTGTGCTCCAGTCTGTGCTCCCGACACAAGGCCAGCATGGCCTTGTTGTCTACGTACAGAACTGGAGGAGAACGAGGCGGCTCTCCCAGGTCAGTCAGCAGGAAGGTGAGCCAGCATAGCTCCTGTGCAGCCATGGCCCCCACATAGATCTCAGCCTCACAACTAGAGCTGAGAACATAAGACGAGCGGGTAGACCCCCAAGAAATAGAGCCGGAGCCAAGGCTGAAGGTGTAACCCTGGGACGACCGCTGTGTCGGCTGGTCGTCAGCCCAAGAAGCGTCTGCGTGACCTGTGAGGACCACTCGACGTCGCCCTCCAAGCACTAGCCCCATGCCCAACGTACTGCACACGTAGCGCAACACCCTCTTCACTGCAGCCATGTGCTCTGGTCGGTGTCTCCCAGGAGCAACATAGCCTGCCAAGATGCTAAGAGGGTATGCAAGGTCAGGTCGTGTACAGGTCATCAGGTACATGAGGCAGCCAACAAGCTCTGGGTACGGGCCACTCGGCTCTACGGACTCATCCGAAGGCAGAGCTGAGAGCGAGTGGCGAGTAGACAGAGGAGTGGCCTGAGGCGAGGAGTACGTGAAGCCGAAGCGCTGAAGGACCTGCTGCACCTTGTGTGACTGTGTCAGGGTAATGGTGCGCTGTGCTCTGTCCCGGGTGATCTCCAAGCCAAGATAGCTGCACAGTACACCCAGGTCTGTGCACGTGTGTCTCTTCTGCAGCTCGGACTTCACGTGGGCGAGTCCAGCAGTGTCAGTAGTGGCAAAGACCAAGTGGTCGACGTACACGAGGATGTAGAGCGGCAGCAAAGAGGTGTCGGTGCGCAGAAACAGCGACGGGTCGGCTGTAGAAGGAGCAAACCCAAGAGCCGCAAGTGTAGTCCTCAGTGTGTCGTGCCACTCACGGGGCGCTTGGCGGAGACCTTAGACTGGCCGCCTGAGGCTCCACTAGGTACCAGGAGGAAACGACCCAGTGAAGCCAGGTGGGCGGCGCAGCCAGATCTCCTCGTGCAGGCTGCCCTGCACAAAAGTTGTGCTGAAGTCAAGAGAGTGAAGGTTGTAGTCGCGCACAGCGGCTATGTATAGCAGCACCCGAAGAGTGGTCATCTTTGGGGTGGGAGAAAAGGTCTGAAAGTAGTCAACTCCCTGCCGCTGACTGAAGCCTCGAGCCACGTAACGCGCCTTGAAGACAGGCGGAGAACCCGGCGGCCGCTTCATCCTGAAAATCCACATGCCACTGACGATGTTCGCCCCAGGTGGGGGAACCTCGTCAACGTAGGTGCCTGTGGACTTCCAGGAAGCCATCTCTGCGTCCATGGCTGACTGCCACTGAGAATAGTAGGGACCCTTGATCGCCTCAGCGTACAATGAAGGAGTTGGGATGTCTGGTGCATCCGGGTCTCCCTCAGGGGCAATCAGCGTGGACACGAGATGAGGCAAAGCAGCAGCAAAACACTGGAACTCCTCCTGCCTGTCCTCAAGGACGTCCGTGCTTAGAGCACACTCACCCCCGACGGACGGAGGATAGACAGAATCAGACTCAGCAACAAGACTAGTGGAGTAGTCTAGACAACAGCGAGCACCGAAGTCGACAAGCTCAGCCACTAAGGCAGACACAGCAGTGGACTCAAAGGAAGGGTCAATGAAGACAGTGGCCAAGAGACGCGTGACAGTAGGACTAGCACCACAAAGAGAGTCAGACTCAGGGTCAGGAGACGAAGGAAGAGAGGACTCTGGAGGAGACGGCAACGGGACACGCAGAGGAGCAGTGGAAGGACGCAGTGCCATCTAGTGTGTGCCAAGAACCGCAGGAGGACGCGGAACACGACGACTAGTGCGAGCATTGCGAACAGGCGACGCAGGACGAGACGCAAGCTCACGGCGCTCAGCAAGACCTCTAGTAGGACCAGTGTAGGGAGAAGGAGCAAGAAGAGGGGAGGCGGGCTGTAACTGTGACCGCGACTGGACGGGCAGTGGACACTCTATGGGAGGAGCAGGACGAGTAGAGGGCGGGAGACCAAGAACCTACTCAAGGAGCGGAACGAAGTACGGCTGCGGCCACGTAGCGCCTCAGAACCAGCAGGGACTGCACCACTACCCCCAGCAGCAGCACCAGCGCCAGCCGCACCTCCAGCTCCAACAGCGTCAGCTCCAGCACCCTCAGACGCACCAGCGCCAGCAGAAACACCAGCACCGCACCTAGTAGCTCCAGCTCCAACAGCTCCAGTAGTACCAACTCCAGTAGGACCGGCAGCTCCAGCACCGCTAGCAGCTCCAGCACGACCAACTCCAGCAGCTCCAGCAGCACCCCCAGTCCCATCAGCTCTAGTACCGCTTGTAGGAGCACCTCCTGAACCAGCAGCAACAGTAGTGCCTCCAGCTCGAGCAGCACGACTCCAGCGGCGGGCAAACCACTCGCGCAGCTCCTGCAGAGAGAGTGGCTCCCGCCTCGACGAAGCACCGCCGACTGCCACACGAGCAGACCCAGCGCCCCCAGGCTCTGCACCCCCACGCTCCGCTTCCCAAGGCTCCACACCCCCAGGCTCAGCACCCCCAGACTCAGCACCCCTCGGCTCAGCACCCACAGAATCAGCACCCGCAGGCTCAGCACCTCTAGACCTGGCACCCGCAGGCTGAGCACCTCTTGTAGCACCAGAGTCAACAGCTACCTTGACAGGCTCGACTTCGTCTATCTGGGACACACCTGACGGGGCAGGACCCTAAGGGGGGAGGGGGTCTACCGGGAGAGGACATGGCCCAAGGAAGAGCGGCGGCGCGGGAAGGGGCGCTGCGCGGTAGGGGAAGAGACGGTAGTAAGGCACCGACTCGTCAAAGGTGACGTCCTAGGAGGACAGAACACGGCGCGAGGTGGGGTGGTAAAACTGCCACCCAGGCGCGTCACGGGTTCCCAAGACCCGAAACGCAGACACATCGCCAACCTTCCCCGTCCACCGCAAGGTGGGGGAGGTCTCTGGCAAGGAGACCCAGGGCTGAAGGTTGAGCTGATGCGCGGCGTACTGAACCGCAAACGGCCACAGAAAATGGGGGGCAGCCGCATGGATCATGGACGTATGAGCGACGTCCATAACCATGCCATTGTGGCGCTCACCAATCCCATTTTGCTGTGGAGAGGCCGAAAGGGTGAAGGTGTGGCGGATGCCCTGTGCCCGACAAAAGGCTCCCAGACGGGCAGAGGAAAACACCCCGCCTCTGTCCGAGTGCAGATGCAAAACAGGAAAGTCGGAGCCGGAACTCTCTCTGAGCTGGAGACGAGCTGCGCGGATCCAGTCGATCAACACCTCAGTGACGTCACCCTTGCTGCACAAGGGGAAGACTGTGGTGTAACGCGAGTAGTCGTCAACCATCAACAGGAAGTTACATGACCTGTGAGGACTACTCGACGTCCCCCTCCAAGCACTAGCCCCATGCCGGACGTACTGCACACGTAGCGCAACACCCTCTTCACTGCAGCCATGTGCTCTGGTCTGTGTCTCCTAGGAGCAACATAGCGTGCCAAGATGCTAAGAGGGTATGCAAGGTCAGGTCGTGTGCAGGTCATCAAGTACATGAGGCAGCCAGCAAGCTCTGCAAACGGGCCTCTCGACTCTACGGACTCATCCGAAGGCAGAGGTGAGAGTGAGTGGCGAGTAGACAGAGGAGTGGCCTGAGGCGAGGAGTACGTGAAGCCGAAGCGCTGAAGGACCTGTTGCACCATGTGTGACTGAGTTAGGGTAATGGTCTGCTGTGCTCTGTCCCGGGTGATCTGCAAGCAAAGGTCGCTGCGCAGTTCACCCAGGTTTGTGCACGTGTGTCTCTTCTGCAGCTCGGACTTCACGTGGGCGAGTCCAGCAGTGTCAGCAGTGGCAAAGACCAAGTTGTCGACGTACACGAGGATGTAGAACGCGTGGCTCGGGGGTCAGGCGGCTCGGCTGCTTGGCGGCTCGGCGGTCGGGCGGCTCGGCGGTCGGGCGGCTCGGCTGCTGGGCGGCTCGGCGGTCGGGCGGCTCGGCTGCTGCGCGGCTCGGCAGTCGGGCGGTTCAGCTGCTCGGCGGTTCGGGCATTGGGCGGGGGGGCCGCAGGTGGCGGCGAGGTCGCAGGTGGCGACGGGGCCGAAGGTGGCGGCGGGGCCGCAGGTGGCGGCGAAGACGCAGGTGGCGGCGGGGCCGCAGATGGCGGTGGGGCCGCAGGTGGCGACGGGGCCGCAGGTGGCAACGGGGCCGCAGAGGGGCCTATAGGGGGCCGTAAAGGGGCCAGACAGGGCCGTAGCGGGGCTAGACAGGGCCGTAGCGGGGCCAAACAGGGCCGTAGCGGGGCCAGACGGGGCCGTAGCGGGGCCAGACGGGGCCGTAGCGGGGCCAGACAGGGCCGTAGCGGGGCAAGACGGGGCCGTAGCGGGGCGAGACGGGGCCGTAGCGGGGCCAGACAGGGCCGTAGCGGGTCCAGACGGGGCCGCCGAGGGGCCTATATGGGGCTGCGGAGGGGCCTAGACGGGGCTGTGAAGGGGCCGTAAGGGGCCAAACGGGGCCACAAAGGGGCCTAGGCAGGACCGCGGAGGGGCCGTAAGGGGCCGAGGCGGGGCCGTAAGGGGCCAGACGGGGCCGCGGAGAGGCCTAGACGGGGCCGTAAGAGGCCGTAAGGGGCCAGACTGGGCCGCGGAGAGGCCTAGGCGGGGCCGCGAAGGGGCCGTAAGGGGCCGAGGCGGAGCCGTAAGGGGCCAGACGGGGCTGCGGAGGGGCCTAGGCGAGGCCGCGACGGGGCCATAAGGGGCCTAAGCGGGGCTGTAAGGGGCCAGACGCGGCCGTAAGGGGCCGTAAGGGCGGCGCAAGGGGCCGTAGAAGGCGGCGCGAGGGGCCGTAAGGGCGGCCAAAGGGGGCCACTAAGGGCGGCTCGAGGCGCTACTCAGGTGGGAGCGAAGCGCGCTCCGGGCAGGGAAGAAAAATTCGTGGTGGGCCCTAAGCAGCATTCCCACTCGAGAACCTGCTCGATACCATGACGAGAAATGAGAATGGATGAATGAACTATGAAAGAGTTGGGTACAAGTACTAAGCCTAATTGGGTTGTACCCCTTATGGGCTACCCCACTACAGCCTACACAAATGTATAAGCTATAATGTTCTGACAACAAGGACACGGGAGGCCATGCATCGGAGACAAGGCAGGGAGAGGGGACCAAGGCGGTGGTGCTAGAGGAGAGTCTGGTGGGACAGGAGACGACACGAGCAGGGAGCAGACTCAGGACCAGACCTGGACGCTGGAGCAAACATCTGACTCGACGCATCTAACTGGCCAGACTCAGGAGCCGGAGGAGACTCAGTAGTAAGGGTGTACAAGCTCGACCCTGACCGACGGGTAAACGTGGCCAAGTTTCGGCCTGTCCGAGCACACGTGCAGTGGGTCATTTGCTGACTCGTAGGAGTGAACTGGTCAACCCCCCTATCCTGTAGGTCCGCTCCACTCACCAAGTTCGTAGAGAACGAGGGGAGGTAGAGACCTGACAGGGTGCCAGAGGGGGCTGCCAGGCACGGTAAGACAGTGGAGAAGCTAGCAAGGATAGGACCCCCAGAGGGGTCTGCAGGGAGACTGCAACCGGCCGTCTGAGCGGCGTAAGAGTGGTGCGGTCTCGAAAGAAGGAGCGGGACGCACCCGAGTCAAAGGTGAAGGTGTGTAAGGCCTGAGCCGATGTAGTACCTGAGAGAGCAGACTCACCAGTACCTTGGGCAGGAGACGCACTAGCACCTGGGGCAGCAGACGCACTAGCTCCTAGAGCAGCAGCCTCACCAGCACCTAGAGCAGTGGCCTCAATGCTCGGGTCAGGCGGTATACACAGGTAACAGTCACCCTCAAGACTAGTAGTTAAAGAATAAATGACAGCAAGGATAGCATCATAGTCCAGATCAAAGATGGCAACCCCCGCCCTATGTCAGAAGTCCACAGGTGATCCCCGATTGATCCTAGGGAAGGGTTACAGGCACGTTGGCCTGGGGGGTTATGGGCGCACTGACCCGCTACTTAACAAGCCCTTTTATCCCAATGGTCTAGTGGTTGGGATTCTGACACCCTAGACAGATCTCCCCAGCGAGGGATCTCTGACCCCTCGGGGAACTGGCGACGCCACGCGTCTGTCAGGCGACCGAAGCAGCGCTGGGTGGAGTGCGGGCCCCCGCACTGCCCACCAGCTTGGTCGTCGGTACGGAGGACGTAAGTGCAGTGACCAGTACCCCCACCGCGCTGACGTGGAGCGTACCACTCACGAAGCTGCTGAGGGGACAGAGTCACACCACTCCGCTGCTACTGGCGCGGACCACCACCTGACCCACTCCTCTGCGCAGAGTCGCAACCCGCTCCACCACCGCCGCCGCCGCCGCCTCCGCCGCCTCCTCCACCTCCGCCTCCTCCGCCACCTCCGCCGCCTCCGCTCCCTCCGCCACCACCGCCGCCTCCTCCGCCTCCACTGCTGCCGCCGCCGCTGCCACCCCCGCCACCACTCCCACCACCACCCCCACCCCCTCCACTGCCTCCACCACCACCTCCACCGCCCCCGCCAGCCCCTCCAGCGTCCTTGCCCCCCTTGCCCTTGCCGGTGCGGCGTCTCCCGCTAGGGGCAGACGCAGGGCCGACCGACTCGAAACCAACAAGGTCGGCCGCAGTAGCAGAAGCAACAGAGGGCAAGAGGGGGGAGGGGGAACACCCCTCAAAGACGGGGGTGCAAAGGTCACCACGAGAGGCTCCTACAGCGACTATGCTCTTCTCTGCTGCTAGGAGGCCCTTCTCGAGGAGGTCGACGGTGAGAGTGGTGGGGCAAACTGAGAGGAAGTGGTCCCAGACTACGCGGAGAGAGTCAGGGAGCCGGGTGACTATGTAGTAGAGGGTGATGTACATGGGGGGGGGGGGGGGGGGGGGGGGTTCTTGGCGCAGAATTCAGCAGGAAGCGCAGCGTGGTAGCGAGTGTCACTCGAGCGGAGATGCTTAATGAGGTCAGCGACTGTGGGAAAGGCAGCAAGGTCAGGGAAGAGTTACGGTAGCATGAGGCGGCTCAGTGCAGCAGTGGCAGGGGAAGAGTAGCGTGCAACAACAGCGTCGTACAAGGTCTGAGCACTCTTGTACTGGCTAAAGAGTGCACGCTCAGTTGTCGGTAAGTGGCAATGCACAGCAAGACGGGCAGCAGCATCGCATGTCGCCCACTGTGAGCGAACAGTGCTCTCAGCAGTAGCAGGTGGGGCAGGGGAGGCACCAGAGGTGAGGTCGAACAGAGAGAGGCCGTCTGCCCTATCGCACTGGAGGAACAGCTGGAGGTGATCGACCCAGACCTCAAAGTCAACGGCACGGCCCTCAGCATCAAAAGTAAGGACACTGGGGGTAGCCTTGACTGCAGTGGCCTAGCAGGGAGTGAGCTCACTAGTAGGAACAGCAGCGGATCGACAGTAGGGCGGCTCGGCGGCTCAGCGGCTGGGCTGCTCGGCGGCTTGGCGGGTGGGCGGCTCGGCTGCTCGGCGACTCGGCTGTTGGGTGGCTCGGCTACTGTGCGGCTCAGCTGCTCAGCAGGTGGGCGGCTCAGCTGCTGGGCGGCTCGGCTGCTCGGCAGGTGGGCGGCTTGGCTGCTGGGCGGCGCGGCTGCTGGGAGCTCGGCTGCTGGGCTGGTCGAGGCGGCGACGTGGCCGCTAGGGGAGGGCGACGGGGCCGCAGGTGATGGCGACGGAGCCGCAGGTGGCGGCTACGTGGCCGCAGTTGGCGGCGACGGGGCCGCAGGTGGTGGCGACGGGGCCGTAGGTGGCGGAGGGGTGGCCGCAGGTGACGGCAACAAGGTCGCAGGTGACGGCGACGGGGCTCCTCACTCCTCCGAGTTCCCTCCGACGGAGGCTCCCCTGCAGACGCTTCACATGGACGTGTGGAGCCTAGTCCGCGTTAGTGGACAGGGTCACGAGCGCTACTTTCTGCTCGTCGTTGATGACTACTCCCGTTACACCAGTGTCTTCCCCTTGCGCCGCAAGGGTGAGGTCACTGAGGTGCTGACCGAGTGAATCCGCGCTGTTCTGCGAGAGTTTCTGCTCGGTGACGAGAAGTGAGAATGGATGAATGAACTATGAAACAGTTGGGTACAAGTACTAACCCTAATTGGGTTGTACCCCATATGGGCTACCCCACTATAGCCTACACAAATGTATAAACTAAAATGTTCTGACACACCCCCATAGGCAAAGTGGGGGAGAACAAGTGGTCACAAGACCACTCAAGCAAAGCAAAGCAAGCTCAAGGTGGATCACAAAGTCACCACACAGTCCAAGCACAAGAGTAGGGCCACAAGGCCACTTCACATGCAAGAGCATATATATAAAGGTAAAACAAGCAATGGCAGGTATAGAAAGAAGACCGTACAAACAAGATCAAGAAGTGAGCAAGTGAGGCCATGTAGGCACAAGACCTAGCACAGTACAGAAACGCTGATGATCACAAGGCGGAAGGGCCTTGGTGAAGATATAAGCAGTGTTGGCCTCAGAGGCCACGTAAGCAAGGCGCAGCTGACCGCGCTGCTGCAGCTCACGAGACAAGAAGTAGCGGAGAGCAATGTGCTTGGTTCTGTGCTCCAGTCTGTGCTCCCAACACAAGGCCAGCATGGCCTTGATGTCTACGTACAGAATTGGAGGAGAACAAGGCTGCTCTCCTAGGTCAGCCAGAAGGTACGTGAGCCAGCGTAGCTCCTGTGCAGCCATGGCCCCTGTGTAGATCTCAGCCTCACAGCAGGAGCCGAGAACAGAGGACGAGCGAGTAGACCGCCACGAAACAGAACCGGAGCCAAAGCTGAAGGTGTAACCCTGTGACGACCGCTGAGTAGCCTGGTCGTCAGCCCAAGTAGCGTCAGCGTGACCTGTGAGGACTACTCGATGTCGCCATCCAAGCATTAGCCCCATGCCCGACATACTGCACACGTAGCGCAACACCCTCTTCGCTGCAGCCATATGCTCTGGTCAGTGTCTCCCAGGAGCAACATAGCGTGCCAAGATGCTAAGAGGGTATGCAAGGTCAGGTCGTGTGCAGGTCATCAGGTACATGAGGCAGCCAACAAGCTCTGGGTACGGGCCACTCGGCTCTACGGACTCATCCGAAGGCAGAGCTGAGAGCGAGTGGCGAGTAGACAGAGGAGTGGTCTGAGGCGAGGAAGACGTGAAGTCGAAGCGCTGAAGGACCTGCTGCACCATGTGTGACTGAGTCAGGGTAATGGTGCGCTGTGCTCTGTCCCGAGTGATCTGCAAGCCAAGGTAGCTGCACAGTTCACCCAGGTCTGTGCACGTGTGTCTCTTCTGCAGCTCGGACTTCACGTGAGCGAGTCCAGCAGTGTGAGCAGTGGCAAAGACCAAGTCGTCGACGTACACGAGGATGTAGAACGGCGGCAGGGAGGTGTCGGTGGGTAGAAACAGCGACGGGTCAGCTACAGAAAGAGCAAACCCAAGGGCCGCAAGCGTAGTCCTCAGTGTGTCGTGCCACTCACGAGGCGCCTGTCGGAGACCGTAGACTGGCCGCTGGAGGCTCCACTGGGTACCAGGAGGAAACGACCCAGTGAAGCCAGGAGGGCGGCGCAGCCAGATCTCCTCGTGCAGGCTGCCCTGCAGGAAAGCTGTGCTGAAGTCAAGAGAGTGAAGCTCGTAGTCGCGCTGAGCGGCTATGTGCAGCAGCACCCAAAGAGTGGTCATCTTCGGGGTCGGAGAGAAGGTCTGAAAGTAGTCAACTCCCTGCCGCTGACTGAAGCCTCGAGCCACGTAACGCGCCTTGAAGACAGGCAGAGAGCCAGGCGGTCGCTTCACCCTGAAGATCCACATCCCACTGACGATGTTCGCCCCAGGTGGGGGAACCTCGTCGACGTAGGTGCCTGTGGACTTCCAGGAAGCCATCTCTGCGTCCATGGCCGACTGCCACTGAGAGGAGTAGGGACCCTTGATCGCCTCAGCGTAAGATGGAAGAGTGGGGATGTCTGGTGCATCCGGGTCTCCCTCAAGGTTAATCAGCGAGGACACGAGATGGGGCAAAGCAGCCGCAAAGCACTGGAACTCCTCCTGCCTGTCCTGAAGGACGTCCGTGCTAAGAGCAGACTCACCCCCCACGGACGGAGGACAGACAGACTCAGACGCAGCAACAAGACTGGCAGCGTAGTCTAGACGACAGCGAACAGTGAAGTCAACAAGCTCAGCAACTAGAGCAGACGCAGCGGTGGACCCAAAGGTAGGGTCAGTGACAACAGTAGCGAGAAGGCGCGTGACTGAAGGACTAGCAGCACGAAGGGAGTCGGACTCCGGGTCAGCAAGCGAAGGAAGAGAGGACTCTGGAGGAGACGGCAAAGGGACACGCAGAGGAGGAGTGGACGAACGCAGTGCCATCTGGTGTGTGCCGGGGACTGCAGGAGGACGCGGATGCGCAGTACGAACACTTGTGCGAGCAGCACGAACAGGCGACGCAGGACAAGGCGCAGGCTCACGACGCTCAGCAAGACCTCCAGTAGGACCAGTGTAGGGAGAAGGAGCAGGTAGCGGGGAGGCGGGCTGTAACTGTTACTGCGACTGGACAGGCTGCGGACACGCTAAGGGAGGAGCAGGACCAGTAGAGGGAGGGAGACCAAGAACCTGCTCCAAAAGGGGAACGAAGTACGGCCTCGGCCGCGCAGCGCCTCCAGAACCAGCAATGACGGCACCAGGACCCCCGGTGGCAGCACCAGCGCCAGCAGAACCTCCAGCTCCAACAGCGCCAACTCCTGGACCCTCAGAAGCACCAGCGCCAGCAGCACCGCCAGCGCCAGCACCCTCAGCAGCTCCAACTCCAGTTGAACGTCAGCACCAGCTGCCTGAGCAGCACCCCTAGACGCACCAGCACCAGTAGAAACACCAGCGCCAACACCCCAAGCAGCTCCACCTCCAGCAGCACCAGCACCAATAGCAGCTCCAGTAGGACCAAGTCCAGAAGCTCCAGCGGCACCCCCAGACTCAGCAGCACATCTCGAGCGGCGGGCGAACCACTCGCGCAGCTCCTGTGGAGAGAGCGGCTCCCGCCTTGACGAAGCACCTCCGGCGGCCACACGAGCAGACCCAGCACCCCCACGCTCAGCACCCTCAGGCTCAGCACCCCTAGTCTCAGCACCCCCAGACTCAGCACCCCCAGGCTCAGCACCCCCAGTCCTAGCACCCCCAGTCTCAGCACCCCCAGTCTCAGCACCCGCAGACCCGGCACCCGCAGGCTCAGCACCTCTAGCAGCACCAGAGTCGACAGCTACCTCGACAGGCTCGACTCGTCTACCTGGGACACACCTGAAGGGGCAGGACCCTGAGGAGGGAGTGGGTCTACCCTAGTAGCACATGGCGCAAGGAAGAGCGGCGACGGGGGGAGGGTTGCAGTGTGGTAGGGGAAGAGACGGTAGTAAGGCACCGACTCGTCAAAGGTGAGGTCCTGGGAGGACAGAACACGGCGCGAGGTGGGGTGGTAAAACCGCCAGCCAAACGCGTCGGGGGGGAAGCCAAGGAAGACGCACGAAACAGCACAGGGGGACAGCTCGTCCGCAGACGAGTCGCGGACAAACGCCCGAGATCCCCAGACCGGAAACGCAGACGCATCGCCAACCTTCTCAGTCCACCGCAAGGCGGGGGAGGTCTCAGGCAAGGAGACACGGGGCTGCAGGTTGAGCTGATGCGCAGCGTACTGAACCGCAAACGGCCACAGAAAATGGGGGGCAGCCGCATGCATCATGGACGTACGAGCGACGTCCATGACCATACCAATGCGGCGCTCAGAAATCCCATTTTGCTGTGGAGAGGCCGGAAGCGTGGAGGTCTAGCGGATGCCCTGTACACGACAGAAGGCTCCCAGACGGGCAGAGGAAAACTCCCCGCCTCTGTCCCGAG